GATTTCGGAAACTGCAGCCGGTGATCAAATGAGTGTGCTTGTGTGTGTGTGTGTGTCTGTGTGTCTGTGTGTCTGTGTGTCTGTGTGTCTGTGTGTCTGTGTGTCTGTGTGTCTCTGTGTCTCTGTGTGTGTCTCTGTGTCTCTGTGTCTCTGTGTGTGTGTGTGTCTCTGTGTCTCTGTGTCTCTGTGTGTGTCTCTGTGTCTCTGTGTGTGTGTGTCTCTGTGCGTGTGTGTGTGTGTGTGTCTCTGTCTGTGTCTGTGTCTGTGTGTGTGTGTGTGCGTGCGTGCCCGTGTGTGTGCATGCATGTCTTGGGAGCATGCAAGTGCACACAACATCAGAAACAGAAAGGGAGCCTTATATGCAACATTAGCTGTCTCGAGATCAGAAGGATAACTGCTCGAGTGTGCTTGCTCATGTCGGCGGCTCTTGCTACAGCCGCAGATGTTTGCAAGCTTTCAGTTTGCAACTCACTAGCTCATGCTTCACATGCCGTATTGTCGCGACAACATCCTGTGACTTGTCTTGCAGTTTGAAGTTGGACCCATGGAACAGTAGTGATTCTCCTTAACAGTCTACCCCCCTGGAAATGATATATCTTCGAGGCGTCTGAGCTGCTCAAGCACGCGGAGACGTTGACAACCGAGTGCAACGAGGTCACCTCACCCACCGCACCAAGTAAAACAGATTTCTGCACAGCGCCAGTCTCAGAGCCGAGCCGTTGGCGTAAGACCTGCAGTGGAACACCCAGCTTCTGCCACATGAGCCCTTATGCAACTTCCCCAGGCAATGCGCGCCAACTGGGCAGAGCCAACAGGAATGAAGGTAGGAGAATCGAAACCAAGCCTGCAGATCAACTCGCAAAACAAGGAGTGCGGTCCAAGAAGCTCGATGCCCACCGTCCCAAGAAGGTGGTCCAAGTCCACTGCGCTGTGATGTCGGTGGCTGTTGCCGTGTGCATCTCAGGGTCAGGCCAAGACAACAGCTACCACCAACCGCATCGTCGAATCCCATGTGACCTCTACCAAAAAGTGCTGGGATGGCCAACACCTTCGTCTGTGATCATGCCCACAGTTTCTTTGTAATCATAAAGCATCAGACAGAGCCACACATGCCCGATCTGAAAACACGAGTGTGTACACGTGAGTCTTTACGTGACAACCCACTAATGTCGTGTATTGTCCATCTCGCTTCCTTCTGTCCCTATGTCCCTGCCCCGCTCTATATATACTTATACACACCATATATATATATATATACAGGTACACATGCATACAAGAAGAAACACCTATACCCAGATCTATATTACATGAAACGATACCAAATAAAGCTGTCTCGCCTTCGGCAGATACCACAGTCTCCAGCAAGCGTCGCACGCGCTGGCGGCCCTGCTCCTGCTCAGCAACCACCTCGGTGAGAAGAAACATGACAAGCGTTTCCACACTTCTTGCGACGGCACACTTTCATTGCGTGTTTGCTGCTGATGGAGTATCCCGATGGGTTGTTGCAACCAGAGAGAAAGCCCTCGGCTCCTTTCAAGCTCTATTACATACAACTAGCAACTATCAGAGCATTGAGCGCGTGAGCGGCTGACCCCATTGAAAGATAGTCACATGCAGCAAGCTTCAAGCGCAGCGAAAGAAAAGCGGTGCGCCAGAATCAGAGCCCCAAACGCTTTATTCGGCACTGGCATAAACGGCATGAATCAAGCCACACCTCCCTATCCGGCCTCTTCGAAACTGGCCCCATAGCGCTCTGCAGCGACTTCTAGAGCCTTGCGAAGCTCCGGTTCGGCGCGGGCCATGAGGCTGCAAAAGGCCTTGGGGCAGGCGATGTGGTTGCAGGTGCTTACCTGAATTATCATGAATTTCAGGCCTTCTGTTTCCTCACATTGCAACCTAATTCGCAGTACGGCCTTCTTTGGTTGCTTTGGATCAACAACTTCTTCAGCCATGACAATTCATGTTGAAGACTTCTACATGCATGCGTCCTCCCACGAATCATGCGCAGCCACCTGTCTCTTTAAACAAATCTTGACAAAGCCGATCTATGAGCCCATAACCCCTGAACATGCCCGCAAGAAGACCTGGTCCGCGCCTCTCCCTTCATGACCAGCAGAGTCACATCACCTGAGATCTGCCGCAGACCTTGCATTTGCCTGGTATCAAGTATTGACCATGCCATACATGCAACCTTGTGGTACCAGCGCTTACGCGAAAAGGGCGGTAGTGCTTGACAAGCCACTTGCGGCTTTGACTGTGACCGGGCTTGGCACGCCAAGTACCAAGGAGGCCTGCCCGAGGTGGCTGTAGAAATAGCTGCAAAACTGTGGCAACTATGTACTGGCAGTGCTGGAAACACATATCCAAAGCATGCAGTCTTGATGTGAGCTGCCACCACTACTGCAAGCATGACCATGTCCACCACCACCACAACCACTGAAACTACTACTATGGCTACTGCGACTGCTACGACGATGACGACCACTACTACTCCTGCTGCTGCTGCAAACTCCCACTCCCTTCTATTCCTGCCCTACTCCTACTCCTACTGTTATTGCTGCTGCTATTACTGCTACAACCACCACTGCTAGTACTAGTAGTAGTAGTAGTACTACTACTACTACTACTACTACTACTACTACTACTGCTAATACTACTACCACCACGAAGCTGCATCTATTCTACCGTTTAGCGGCAGTGCGACGGCGCCGATGACGACGATTTGAACTTGAACCACCGGTGCTGTGAGTGCGCCCTCAGTCGTGTCCCCCGGCAAGTCGTGGAAACAGCCGTTTCTCCAGACGCTCGCCTCATCCTCATACTTGAAGCTACGGCTAGTGGTGCTTCGCGCCTCGCCGAAGCAGTCCCCGGCTTCAAGCGTTGCGACTTCCTCGCCGCCTCCTGAGATGCAGTTCCAGTGACAAGTTCGCAAAAACCTGATGATGATGGTGATGATGGTGCTGATGATGGTGGTCGTGGTGATGCTGCTGATGCTTACGATGAAAGCAATCATCACCACTCGAATTATCACTATGCATATTTCTGGCCGTTAACACTTTGAGTAGCAACGTCCAGTATCCCTATCGACTACAGAGTTGACTAGCCGAAGCATTCGGCAATTGCGAAAGCTTAAAAAGACAGTTGTCACAAGTAGCAGAAGTGACAAGCTGCCAAGCAGTTATGCAAACCTAGACCTAGGACTATATCAGTATTCAATGACACCGGGCAAGGTAGCTTCAACCTCTTAACATCCGGTATTCAAATCCACAGGTCGGCAAGCCCTGAAGCCTGAAACCCACTGCTGCAGGATGCCCTCCAGAGTACAGAGCCTTGTTTTGGTTGTGTGACAGAAGGCCCCGAAGTTTGGAAGCCTGGTCATGGAAGCTTGAAGGCCAACTCACAAAACCTAGCGAGTGTGATGTGTACAGAAGTAAGCACACAACCAGGTACATCGCTTCCATAATTCACTCCTGGACAGAGAACAACATGCCGGAAACATCTGATGCACTGATGCATGCGGAGGAGCGATAAACTTTGCAGGTCCCGGTGCGGATACCGAAGAAGCACTGCTGGCTGACCGGGCTGGACTGCCTGAGAAGCCTGTCAAGTTTGCAAACCCAGAAAACGTCTTCATCATGGCTGAGTCGACCGAGGGTCAACAAACCTAGCCTAAGTGCCAAGTTTAGACTGGTGACTAGTCGGCAGTGTTTTTCGAGACTGCAAGGACAATGGAAAGCACATCGGGTTCAAAGCCCTGGTTTGGTGTCAGTAGTGCCAAAGGCTAAGACTAAAAGCCACCATGCTGCCAGGCAACACGTCATCATGAAGCCTTTCCTGGACAGTAAAGTTCTGGGCCCACAGAGCGCTCTCCTCCTGGACGCTGGTCGGACAGTCACACCGTGTACAAACAAGAGCGCTCATCTCGCGACAACCAGATAGTACCAAATAGAGCAGCTGGAGACATCTAACCTGTCTGAAAAGCCGACACGGCATCAGAATCCTGATGGGCATACATCCTCCAAAAGTCCGGTTCCCAAAAGTGTTGCCTTGAGACCCACACGCATGGAAACGGCAACGGTGTGGACTCATCTGATTCCGGGTGTGAAGTCCGGTTAAGCCGAACAGCCGCGCAGACTCAAACTGCCACCCGAAAACAGAAAAGAAGCGAGGCGTTTCCTCCTGGAGGTTGGCGAAAGCATGCAGACTCCGGACGCAGGAGATGCGTGTCACGCCTGCGGCCGCCCTCGCCTTTGCCGATCAGGAGTTGCTTATAGTTGCTTGCTCTGCAAAGCAGAGAAGCAAGCTTACATTCTAAACCTGGTATTGGAATGGCTGCCTCTGCATTGGTTAAGCTGTTTTGCATGTGAAGATGCCGAAAACTGCATAGGTGCAGCATGGGCACGGACCTCAACAGTGCCAGCCAAGTCTGGTTCCGACCCACCAGCTGCGCGTATGACCTCGCAGTTACTTCGGTGAGGCGGCGGATCCCCTAATTTTGGGTAGTTTGCTCTCAGACTCACCTCGAAACCACCCGTGCGCGCACGAAGGAATGCGTAGATACACGGATGCGTGGATGCATGGGCGGTAGCACGCATGAAATGCGCCTTTGAAACGCAAAATGTTGCCAGGGGTGTGCACTATGCCCAACGCACAGTTCAGCAATCCAGCGTGCGCACTTGCATGTTATGAAGCTGCTGTTTGTTCGCAGGCATCAACTGTGCAAGCCACGGTTTCGGTGCTTTGCACAACACTCCTCAAAACAGTAAATGCTTCCACATGCAGTACACCTGCATGGCGTACAGCCAAATTTCGAAGAACTGGGGGCCGAGGGGCTCGTCCGTAGCCATGAGAGCCGTCTGCATCGGAGGCTGCAACCTTCGTATGAGAGCGAGAGCAGTGGCAGTGAGGTCTCAAGCATTGGGAGGATTTGGAACACCATCAACATGACATGGTCCGTAACACGACATTTCCAAGAGTGCTATTGTCGCTATTGCTGAATTGCATGTACATGTCCATAATGCATGTAGTACATTTGTGTCTGTACGTATATGTGAGCATATGCACCTACTCATGCTCACAGAGTACGCATGCTGTGCAAACTTGAAAATAGAGATGTCCACATGTAGAAATACACCCATCCATCCATCCGTCCGACCGTTCGTCCATCTATTTTTGTCCATCCATCCATGCGTACATGCATGCATCCGTACAAACATACGCACATACATACGTACGTGCATACATACATACATACGTACTTTACATGGAATTACATCCGGTCCAATACCTTACATTACATGTACATGCATACATACATACATACATACATACATACATACATACATACATACATACATGTAATACATACATACACACATACATACATACATACATACATACATACATACATACATACATACATACATACAACATTACATGGCATTAACACATGCATTCCTTTACAGTACATTGCAGTACAGTACATTACATGCATACACATGCGCTCCTACAAAACATACATACGTACGTGCGTACGTACATACATCCAGATGTACATACATACATACATACATACATACATACATACATACATGACATGACATTACATTACATTATGTTACATTACACTACACTACTGTACACATCTGTACGCTACACTACACTGCTTTACTATACACTACACTACACTATGCTGCCTTACATTACCTACATACTTCGCAGGTCTCTGTTTTGCCTCCAGCATGAAGCCACCCCACAGCAGTTCCCAGCCTGCTGAAGAGGTCCAGAATAAACTTCCAGAGCTCCAGGACCGCTTGCTCCAAAAGAAAGATGAGCACCCCAGGGCTGAACTTCATCGTGGGTTTGAACTGCAGGTGCGTCACGAACTGGTTGACTTCCTCGGCAGCCCGCTTGCAAAACTACTCTTCAAACCTCTTAGTCGGTACTAGAGCGTGCTTTCAATACATGTTTTGTGTGTGTGTATATATATATATATATTTATTTGTTTATTTATTTACCGATCGATTTATTTATTTATCTTCCACTGCGGATGAGCGATGAGTCTGGCTTGACCCATGAAAGCCACCAGAATCCCCAAAGAGTTTCGTAATACCTGACTTAGGTAGGAGGGCAACCTGTCCCGATTTCACTGTAGAAATCGAGAAGCTGGACAGCCGTCCTGACAATGGGAACACAGCAGGAAGCTGCTGGCAGTCTCCCTGTCTACCCTGTTTGCAAACTGTGCCGAGGGCCTCCGCTATCATGGACTGGACTGCGCTGACGAGCCAAAAAAATTCGGCACATGCATCGTTGTATCCCAGTCAAGGCCAACTTTCAGCAAAGCACCTCCGCCGAGCTTTGCTGGTTCCTCTGAAGACGATCCTCAAGGAGCCGCCCGCCGATGTCCGCCAAAGGCTTCAGCGTTCCTGGGGTGATGACGATGATGGAAGTGGGATCAGGATTCCGGTGTTCTAAGTGGCTACCGCCAATGCTCATCATGGCGATGTGATGATACCTGATCGTGATTCTGACGGCGACGATGACACTTCTTGGATCCAACGCTCCCAAGCACGCCTACGACCGGCGACCGGGGTATTGTGGGTTCTGGCTTTAAGGAAGAACGTGTTGAACTCTAGACGAAAGCAAAAAAAGCCCTTCACACTTCAAACACGAAGCTCTGATCTTGAGACCCCAAGCCAATAGAAGTAACCCTCGCAGATCCGAGTTGAATCGGAAAGTCTTGCATGACAGCCAACCTCGGCCCAACTGCTCCAGGAAGAAGCCGAAAACTAGTGGACCTTGCACCTGTTCGGGAGTTTCGTATTTAGGAGGCGTTGAGGAGGGTCGCCGCGTGGTGCTGTCAGGTACCCTCCCAAATCTTCTTCTCTGTCCTTCCTTTCTTCGGATGGCATAGGGAGAGTGCAGGCCTCCTCCGCACGACCACCCTCTTCACAAATGGATGGGGTGGGGAACAAGCGGACTGGTTGAAAGTCCGGTTGCAGTGGGGGAAAAAGTACTTGAATGCACCCATTGTCCGTCGCAGTATACCAATGCGGAGGCTCGCTGAGTACCGATGCATTGTGTTGCGCCCCCGCCCTTTCTACGACGAATGCAATGGTGACATCCGTGCGCGGGCGCACAGCCTGGCCAGCATTCCCTAGCTCACTCGCAGTGCCGGCCCACTGTTACAAGGCTCCTCCCACCCCTGATTGCAGGAATGTTCTGCCCACACAAAGAAGGCATCACCAGAAGAAGTACGAATAGCAAATTCATGCAGGCATGCCCGGCATGCGAAAAAACATGTGTATACACCCATACGTGCGTGCATACATGCACCTCAAGAGTGGCATGTGAAAGTGCCAAATGCATTGACATAGTGAAATAGCACGTTCCATGTTGCATTACATAGTTCATTACACGCATGGTATTCCCGCAAAATTATATGCTGTTTTACATGCTACATTACATCATATGTTACATCGTTACATATTGCATGACACATAACATGGCATGTTACATCGCCTTTTACATTGCACTTTACGCTACAATACATTACAGTTTTCGGCGCTCGCACTCGACGAGGTCAAGCGAGGATCCCAGTAGACCACATAATGTTCATTGCATTGCAATGCATTTCAGTGCCTACACCTGCACGTACATCCCTGCATATGTACCTGCATCTATAGAGACGGACTCTTGCAACGCGCGAATGGCTTGTGTTGGGTCGGGTCACCAGCGCGCTCGCCCGGACTTCTGCGGCAGATTGGAGCTCGATGAGATCCTGCGCGAGTGAAATTCGTACAGGACGAGCGAGAATTATTTCTGCTTCTTTGTTGGGGACTGGTGTCATACGCTTCGTCCCTCATGGAAGAGACATCTAACCAATGCAGTCAAGCGCGAAAGTCGTTGCAAGTGTTGGGTTTGGTGCTTTCCCCCATGGTGACACACGCCACGACCGGGTCGCGGCGAAGTCCTTGCACTTGCTCCGCTCCGCAAGTAGACGCTGCCGCCAAAGTGGCTACAAAACACATATATATATATATATATATAAAATGGAATGCATACTCCAGACAGCATATTCGACAGTTCCGCAAGTAGACGCCGTCGCCGAAAGTTACAAGTCTCATAACAGGCGCACGGTTTGTCACGACGACTACTACTACTACGTCTAATGCGGCTGCTGCTACTACTGCTACTACTACTACTACTACTACTGCTACTACTACTACTCCTCCTTCTACTACTACCTACTGCTACTGCTACTGCTACTGCTACTGCTACTGCTACTGCTACTACTACAACTACCACTACCACTACCACTACTGCTGCTGCTGCTGCTGCTGCTGCTGCTGCTGCTGCTGCTGCTGCTGCTGCTGCTTCTGCTGCTGGCTGCTAACTACTGAATTTCATGTTGTATATTGGTGCATACGCGTAAGCTCCGCGCAAGCCGCGCTTAGGCGGACCCAGCAAGGCTCACCGACCTAGTTTGCAAGTACAGTATATGTAGCAGGATCAGGGTTGGAAGCTTACGTGGCTTGAGGTGTTCACACTCTTAAGGGCTGAAAGTTAAAAGCACCAGTCGCCCATCGATAGGAGCGAAGCCAGAATCGCTCACGAGAATCCGAATCCGTTGGTGACGCTTAAGGTCATAACCCGAAGGGTGCGACAGACTGCGGGGTTCAGAACTCAGCTCAGGGATCCCCTCACATGACAAGATGAGGCGGTCCAACAGAGCCCAGCCCTCGTCGGCACGCTGCTCGGAGAAAGCAGCAATGCTGCCTTACACACAGCTCGCACAGAGACGTAGTCTGAACTTCTTCAGTTCATGCTCGAACGCAGACGGACTCCGTCCTGACATGCCTTCGACCACACAAATGCAGGGCAGTTGCTCACCAGCGCTTCTTCCCTACCTTGTGACCACTCCTGCCAGGATCAGGCCCGCGGTCATGCTGCAAATTCCCCTCAAAGAGTAGAGTCGAAAAACAGGTAATCCCTCGCAGCTCGTGAGTTGGGACGACTGGCTCCTCGAAGGGGGCGCTGCGGGCCATGGGGCCCAGAAGCGCCTGTCTCAGCCGCGCGCCCTGACTGCCGGGTTGGCGTGTGTCTTTGTCGGGCTCGAACCCAAAGCAGCAACTGATTCATGGGGCCTCTGCAGACTGTGGCTACAGACATGGAGAAACCGGACCTCGTCATCCCGAGGATGGTCGATGGAAGTCTGAGTCTAAGGTCATGTGCAAGCTTTGGGAGGGCAGTTCTGCTGCACAGCATCCGAGGCGGGAAAGTCCCTCCAGCTGTAAAGCTGCATCTTTGAGCCCGAGATTTCCCTCCGAAGCGCCTCCTGCAAACATGTGGCCAGAGCTGCGGCATCCTGGAGTGCTGCGCTGCCTCGCAGATGTAAATGTAGTGAATGCAGTGCAAGTAATGTGGCTTCTCGATCGCTGTGTTATCAATCCCGTTTTACTCAAAGTCTCTGTGCATGCAGAAACAGCGACCAGCAGCCCGCTGGGGATCCTGCAGCCCTGTCCCAGGGAACCACCACCGACTGCATGAGCAGCATCACCCAGAACGCCTTAGAAAGTAAGCACATCTCAGCAATCAGCATACGCAGGATGGACTGCAGTGAGCCAATCTAGTGGCAGATGTGGAAAGCAGCTGAACCTCCCAGCCAAGTTTTGCAGTGCCGAGGTGCACAGCGCATGGTCCGCATCGTGCAGAGGGCGACACCGGCTGACAACAGCTTTGGAGGGCTTCGCCGCTAAGAAGCTCTCCGCGGCTTCTCGCGGGATTTTGCCCTTGGATGCAAGAGATTCGACAAACGATCCGAGATCATGTGTACTTGGAGTCTAGGGCAGACCACCCGCCGACCCCTGGAGACCCAAGTCGGTACACTGGAAGCTTAGTCCGTAAATCTTGACCGGAAGACGCAGTCCCAACATCACATGCCGATGCTTTGCCTTCCCGAACGTCCATGAATGTGGGCCATGTTGCCAGCTGTGGGAAGTAGCGTAGGAGGACCTCAAGGCAGCACTGAGTGCTGCACAAAAGCGTTCGACTCACTGAGTCCTGATGGGCGGAAGCTGATGAAGCTGGGGTCCGGACGGCCTCGAGCATCTCCGGCGTCTGAGCCTTCCCGCACTTTCTCACACAACCCCTTTGCAAGTTCTGCGCGTGGCATCTTGTTTCTGCACAGTCAAGGAAATGGTGGCGGAAACCTTTCCGGGATCCAAGACCCAAGATACAGTCTGACACGGTCCCTTTCTCTAGCATTGAATTCGACTTTTGGCCGGTGGGTTGCTATGCTTGAAATACATCTAAGCCGAAGCTTCCGCTCAGGTGGTCTCAACAAAGAGTGACATGGACTTGGACCTGGCGGCCTCCAGCAACTCTTCGGGGGCATCGTCCGAACTCCATGACACAATCACGCAATGCCTGAGTGAGTTGAGATATGATTTAGAAGATGTTGGAAAGCAAAGAGTTTGGGAGTGTGGCCTTCGAATTAACGAATTTTTCATGACCCACTGTAGACCCTCAGTCTGATCTTGTGTGCTGACATGCTCTCACCACCTCCAGCCGTGGCTCTGCGGGGTCTTGCTATTCGTTCATCTCGCGATTGAGCATGTCCTCGAGTCTAAGGCCCGCACGGGCCAGCAGCATCTGGGATGCAAAACCTGAGCTGCTCTCTTACGGGTGACGAGATAACAACAAGTCTCGGAGTAGTGACTGGGTGATTACGGCAAACTTCAAAAACGTAGGTTCATGTCTCGATAACAAGCAGGCAGCCGCAGGCATTGCGGAAACTGTGGTGGCATGATTTAAGTCTTTAGTGACGGTCAGGCAAGGCACAATCCAAACGGTGCCTCTGAGGAGACCATGGCCTCGTGAGTCGTTTCGGGTTGGACCCGAGACCCGAGGGTGAGATACCATGCAGGCAGACGACCGTCATTGTATGGATTCCGGGTGTTACCATTGGAGTCTCCAAGTCTTTCAATTCAACGTTCGATCAACGAACTGTCGAATCGGTGCCCACGTTCCTTCGTGAGAGCGCTTGGGGGGCAGGCTCCTGCACGCTCCAACGAGTACTGCTCACTGCACTCTCTGACTCTACAGCCTATAGGCTATAACTACTATAACCAGATCTGACCTGGGCAAAAGACAAATCCAGTAAGAAGGTTCTGGTACACCGAGTGACGAGACTTCCGAGGAAAAACTGTCTGAATTGCCTATCAAGTCAAGCAGGGGCGCGTGAACTCCGCGCTCATTCAAGTGCTCGGGCAGATCCAGGTGCAGCACTTGCCATCTGAGCAGAAGCCATTCGATCTTCATATCTCATGCTGGAAATACTCCGGGAATCCATGGCAGGCTCCAATCAACTCGAATTGACAAAGCAATCAGCGACCCCGGAGACAAAACTCGGAAATCAGTTGGCCAACCTAACACTCGCACGAAGACACGGATTCTAGCAAGAAAAGGCCCATCTGCTCAAGGCCTGCCCGGCATGACGCGAAGCTCAGACTCGAAGCGACCTGCCCCGAAATCGCCAAGGTTCATTACTTTTACGACTCCTGGTCGTCAATCAATTAGGCTGTGGACTTCCATGCCGCTCTTTGCAGGTAAGAAGCTTGAACCAACATGACATGCAAACCATGCGGCCTTAGCCGTCTGGCCTGGAGGCAACTGGCTGTTCATTGCCTCGCGCACTCGCGACCGGACGCCATCCGAGCCGATCAGCAGGTCGTACTCGATCAGCTCTTCCTCCTGGTGCTTACAGCCTACTCCACGAAGCCTCCCGTGCTTTCTGGGCCAAGGCACAAGTCTTCTGTGAGAATACCCTCAACACCGATACATCCCTGCCTGCTCTGTGCCAGACTGGCGCTGCACTGTCACCGTTCGATGAACCACATCGACTGACTTGACCTGCAAGAACTCGAATCTCTGAGTCTTGCAACGGGCCACGTTGAGCTCAAGGACATGCTCTATCGGTCAGGCACTCATGCCAAATCGGCTATTCCCGACAGGTGGCCTTGGTCCCGTAGTCGATGCGCACATCGGTCCCTTCGGCAAACTCCATGGACGCCAGCCTCGGTCTGATGCGGCAGGGCATCCTCCGCACTCCACCCTGGGACGCTCATGAACCATGAACTTAAACCCTAAACATCCCTTAAGCCATGTACTCCATCAAAAAATATCAACAAGCACGTTGAGGGATTACAAAGTCCAGGGGCCGGTCACGGAGCGAGGAAACGATCCTGCCACGGTCCAGCAGTACCACTGGCTCACCTTCTGGCGGTGGCAAGGAGAGGGGAACCTCAGCTTCTCATTCAGCAAGTCGCTGCCGACCACGGATTGTAGTTCGGCAGAGTTTCATTGCAGAGTTTCAACTTGCTCCCCTGGCTTGCCGCCAGCGGGCCCCATTCAAGTGAAGTGTAAAGCCTTCCGCCATTATTCCCGCTGCTGCCATCTCCTTGCGCAGTTGGGCACTTCCATCAGACAGCGGAAGCTGAAACCGCCTTACTACGCATGTGCGATGCTGGTGATACTTCCTAGAACGACAAGCCCGAAGCAGTCAGAAGACCCCGTCATGTCAGAACTGGACTGGCGCCAAAACGAGTTCAGATCCATAACAGCTCACCCCACTTAGCGCAAAATGCGTCACAAAACCCTGCCCACATTAGACATCACAAATCAGTGTTGCTGTCAGTCTTATTACCTGCATCTGTCTACATCTATCTGTCTGAGTCTATATCTATCCTTGCATCTTTCCATTGAGCTGTCTAACTATCTACCTATCTGCTATGCCTACCTGCGGTCGGCCAATCCATCCGTCTACCTCGCGGTCTACCAAAAAATCTACACACATGCATGCATTCATGCAGTATTTCGCTCACTCGCAGATGTGAGTAATCATTATGCCGGCACTTCCTGATCTTTGTCTCTCCTGCCATAGCTCTTCGCCTCCCAGCTGGATGAGAGCCTCTCGGTTTCGGGACTACGTGAGATTTTGAAATACAAGATATGTTGGGGCGGAGCTTTGATCACTTGCGCTTCAATGTGCTCTTGGCAGGACAAACCTGAGCCAAGCAACCAAAAGAATGATGAGCAGCACCGGCTTTCGTTTACCGACTGTCTTAGCATGCACGCTTTCAATTCTGAAGGTATGGCATGTTGAGTTTAGCATCTGACCTGGAAAGCGCGGGCAGGACGTCTAAAATCAAACTGTCTCCGCACACGAGTGTCTACACCCAAGGCCTCCCTAGCACGGCGACCGAGGCCGATAGTATGGGAGCGCCCGCGATTCTTTGCGCCTGCCCCAACGGCAATCAAGCTCAGTAGCAAGTGGGGAGATGCTAAAGACTGCTCAATGCATCAGCGATTAGCCAATACGTTTTGAGCGACCGGAAGACGCTTGCTGCAGGCGAGCTTGCAGCAAAGCCTTGCATCGCCCTCGAGTAATCCTTCGAGAAGACGATTATACACTGTCTTGAAGTGCTCACTCATGAATCTGAGTAGAACCTGGTCATGCAAACTTGCGGCATATCCTCAAGGAACCATTATACTGTTGGGATGCTCCAAAGGACCCGACACAGAGGGAGGCAGGGAGACACAGAGATAGGTATGTCGGTCCGCCGGCAGACTTATGGCATGCGCCTGGTCGCTCGTGGGGTCGGCCCTCCAAGATTCGAACATCTAGACCTGGGAAAGCTCAAAGGCCACAGAGACTGAAAGGCTTTCCACTTTACAAAGGTCGGGGTTTGGCGCAGCGGCGCGTGCCATTATCACCTGCCTGCTGCAAAGAGACAGGGAAGCTTCCGAGCCGGTTGCGGAAGTTGCGGCTGTAGCCGAAAAGTAGTGTTCTGCCAAAGGGCCCTGTGTGCTCGCCAGCCCACAGGCCAAAGCTAGACCTCCAGGACCACCTCCTGAGATGATCACCCGAAGCGGCCTGGCACAGACTGTGGGGAGAGAGCACCAACTGAAGTACTCAAACAGTTTTGGACAGGGAGGCTCCAGCTACAGGCGGAATGACCCGACTATCTTCACTCGGCGGACGGCTCAAAAGTCCGAAATCATCCCTCAGCCCCAAGTTTGGCGATAAATGTGAGGGTTGCCTGGTGTTTCGAAGCATGGTTGGGCTATGCAATGTTGTTGTTTGTGCTTTTTGGTGTGGGGGTTGGGGGTTGGGGGAGGTGGTGCTGCAGACTCATTCTTGAGTGCTCCGTGTTTTCTATCTGCCCGTTAGACTCTGCTCAGCCACACAGTGGACGACACGCATGTAAGCCAAGGAGGAAGTGATGCAACTCGCAGGCTCGAAGTAGCTGGCACAATTGGCAATGGCAACAGCGGCTCCCAGACTCTCATCAACAGGACCTGCTACTGGACAAGTAACAGAAGAATCGGAAAACGAAGCCCGAAATGGGTGCCTGCCACCACTGCCTGCGCCGGCCCCCCAAGTGGAGCCTGCACTGCACTTCGGAAGGGAAGCTTTGCACAGAGGCGTTGCCTTCTTTTGCCAAAGACTCAGCACTGATCACATGAGCATGTATACAAGCAAGACCGTGCACACATATAGCTATATTAGCTATATAGCTATACATATACATGCGCACATCATCCCCAGATCTGTGCTACGGTGCTTCTGGCAGTTGGAAGGATTGAAGTCGTAGCAATGGTTCCCCGATGTAGGCTCTAGGTGTCTAGGAATCTGGCTCAACATTGTGGCTGGCAAATGGAGGGCAGCACCACGAGCTGTTGTCGTCCAGTGCCGAGTCTGATGAAATGGAACGAGGTCGGATGGTATATACGACAAGGGTGCCAACCAACCTTATGCACCTGCTTTGACGCTCCTGAAAATCTCTAAAAACCTCTCGGCATGCGAGACCGAGCAAAAGAGCAGGACAAAGCAACTGCTGCAGGGAAGCGCGCATTAATATCATGAAATGACAATGAACTTGTCTCGCAGGGGTGTGCGCATCAAGTTTGGGAATCTGCGGACCGCGCTAGGTTACAGCAGCTCTTCTTTTGACAATTTCCGTGCTTGATAAATCTCATCCATACCTGTCGTCAATGCTACTCTTGTGATGTTGGCTGCGTTGCTACCGCATGCGCTAGCAAGAAAGTTCCTTTCAAAGTTAGTACTGCGGTCATGTCGTAGATACAGCTGAATCATGCTCGGGACATGTTTACGACATCTGCTTCACAAAGGAATCCTAACACATGGTCCACATTGGTCGACGCTATGTCATGAATCGTGGCGCTGTCCGAACATATCCCTGCAGACCCACGTCCCCAACGATTGCCTCATCGCCCGAGTTGCCCAAGCACCCAGAAACGCAAGCAAAAGCCCTCTGAAGCCCTGCAGGTCAGCCACCTGGCGAGGCCCTAAGGCGGACGAGCGTCGAGGGCCGCCTGAAAGGAGCTCCAGGCTTTGACGGCTTGGAGAGATGGTCTGAGCTTTTTTTGGTGGCTCCTTGATGCAGATTTTGCGGGTGTCCTGGCAACTCCTGCCATGCTGCGTAGGAGGGGCTTCGATGCTGACACCGAGCGATTGTTGGCATCCTAGATCTGGGGAGATGCTTGGAGAAGATAAGCGGCAGCCTTACTTCAGGCAGGGGCTGTTGCACAACGATATGAATCTAGCTCTAGCTGAAGTTGGCAGACGGGAGACGCTCATGGAGACGAGATTGTTACTGTTGTGACTGTTGTGCCAAAAGTGGAAACATCTGACGAGACTTGCTGCAACCCAGGCGTCATGATGATGCAATAGACATGACCACGCGTATCTACAGAAATCTCGGGGCCCAGGCTGCAGCTAAAGAGCGTCAACGTATTGGATTGGCTAGCTTTTTCTTGCACCGACACGGTGACACTGAACAGCTGTGCTGCATTGCCTCTGCTAAAACCAGGCAAGGTTCAGCATGAAACATCCTGAAACCAGATTTAACTCCCTCGGCTCGAACAGAAAGGGGCATTTCGAGACCTCTAAGAAGTGTCCACGCCTCCGCCCGGCAGCGCAGGCAGCGACCCCGGTCGCCAAGGCCAGGGCCTTCCAGGATACGAGATCAATGCAGCTTCCCCAAATTCAGATCTGCAAACTCAGCGGTCAAAGATAAGTTTCACACTCCATGGTTATCCCCTTCAGCAGCCAGGTAGGTCCCATGTGTAGCTAAGCTCCCATTTCCTGCCAATCAGGCATCCGAGGAAATATCTGAATCCCAACCTGGGCCGATCTTGACCGCTGCCTGTGCGGCGTGCGAACGGGACCTTTGCTGCAAACAGTGCAACCAACCACCCCATACACTTTTGCATCCATACCTCTCGCAGTCTTGCCACTCTAAATCCCGAAACCGTGCTGCAAGCTTTGAAGGTCGTAAACTGTCTGACACCTCAGCCTTTCCCTCTGCTTCCATCAAGAAACAAGTCAGTCAGAAAACCTCGAACTTCGCCGGTGTGATGGTCCAACCCTCGGAATTGACTTTTCACACCACGGCCTCATCGCTCACCTGGAGCGTGTAGTAATCTAGGAGCAAAAGCTACTCCGCACATTCCAACGGGCGCAAAGCTGGCGATTGGCACTCTCCGATCCACTCCAAAGCTTCTTCATTAGCCACTGCAAGTTCCCCCCTCCTCTGCTCCTCAAGCTCGCTCTCCCCTGCGAAAGAACAAAGGTAGAGCTTGACCTCTGTCCTTCCACATCACGGTCATTATACTGCGCTGCCATCGGGCAAAACGACAGCAAACCCTCAGACAGCATCATGGAGGAGTTCGGGCTTAGTGCTCGGGTTTACCCTTAGACTTGGAACGGAGCGCCGCGGAAGAAGCAAGAAGAGCAAACCAAGTAGATAGAAGCAAACACAAGGAGAGCAAAATACGCCAGCTTGCAGACACAGGAGCCGTCAGTGTGCGGACAGAAACTTGAGTCGGGAGTCAACATTGTGACGAGCTTGGGAAAGAGAGAGAGAGAGAGGGAGGGTGGGCAGGGCGAAGTGTGCGAGACCGCGGGAAGCCTTTCTCGACATTTCCACTCGAGAAGCAAACAGTGAGACGAAGACTCTACGTATCGGCCCAGCAAAACCGGCGAAGGGCTAGAACGCTTCCGCAGGTGGTAACCCCACCATCCAGGTTACTGAGCTGCGAGCTGAAAGAGGCTGGTGCGCGTGATGGCGAGGATCCTGGTGGTTCAGCAGCCAAGGTTCAAGTTCAAGTCTCCGGGCGGTTCCTATGCACACCACTGTCCGCTACTATCCCTTCAAGTGCTTGCTTATAAGTGCTGACCCGCGCTCGACCCTGGAAAGCCTGCACTGGACGTCTGCC